ATGAACATGAGCCCTGCGATGCCATGACAATCGCTCCGATAAGCACGATGGCTACAAAGGGAGGATTCACATCTCGTGGGACAGAACGGGGTTCTCAAGATTTCCTCGTGCTACTTAGAATGGCACTTGAAAACGTATGGATTGTTTATTTCTGGAATTTTCCACATAATATTTTCAGTCTGTAGTTGACAGTAAGGTAACTAAAACCACAGAAAGATACTCCGCAGATAGAGGGGCCTACACCACTTCTCTTTATTTATGTCAAATATCTTATTTAAACTATCAAATATTTGATGTTAATAAATTTAAGTTTATACTATGTTTGAATGTACTGAGAGATGCAGAGGATTTTACTAAGTGAGAAGGGATGTGTCAGATTGCTCCAAGGAAAAGTTCTATGCACTGGAAAATTCACTTGTATTGTCACCACAAAGCCAGCAGAAGAAAGCTGGTGATTCATATGTTGTCTGTTAGAAAAAAAATCGAGTGCATATTTGATGCCACAAAATAATGATTGTTAAGTTTTAGGTCTGATAATGGTCTTGGGTTATATTGTTTAAAAATCCTTATCATTCAGAGACATACGCTGATGTATTTTTGGATAAAATGATTTGACATCTGAACCACTTTTAAGTTAATTTAAGGTGGGAAGGAGGCTACAGAAAAACAAGATTGTCTGTGTGCTACAATAGTTGAGGCTGAGTACTAGTACATAGGAGTTTATTGTACTTTCTTTGTATTTTTGTATACATTTGGAATTTTTCATAATAAACATGTAATTTAAACAAACAAACAAAATACATGCAACAGACCCTCCCTTTCTGTGAACCGTGAATGAAACATGCTGTGCCTACGATGGTTTTGCACAGAAGCAGTGTTAGCCGAATCCCACTTTGCTCCTCGGTTCTATAACTGGCAATATACAATCTGAATCTCATAAATATACATGATTTCTTTTCCCCTTTCCTCAGTGTGTTGCAGGAATTTTTTTTTAAAAGGAAACTTTATCCCTTCCAAACAAATTGGAATTTAAAATGAATGTGCTATGTGGGAAAACCTCCAAACTCCCTTTGAGAAAGATGGTGAACTTTTGCCTTCACCATCCCCAAATTTCCAAAATGCATAGTTTTGCCTGTGCCCCTGGTGTTTCAAATCACCAGAGCTGGAGAGAAACCTAGAGTGAGGAGGCCGTAGCTCCAGGGCCTTTGTTCCCTAGACAGCTGCACACCTGCACACACCTACACACACATCACACAGCCACACCACTGCCATGTCCAGATTCGAATGCCGCAGGCTCCACTGGGGCAGCAGGGCAAGGCGACCGAGAAAGCAACTGGAGGTAAAGACCTGTTTGCGGCCGTCCTCTCTCACTCTTCCCCTCCTCTCCCCATCACATCGCTTTGCCATCCTCTCCAACCTCCCACCTTAACTGCATCCCTGCTCTGAACCGCCTCTCCATTTCTTCAAGTCCAAGTCTTCTCCCCGCTCCACCTCCTTACAGATGCCGCTCCCCTCGCCCCCTCCCTCCCCGAGGCAGCTGGGGCCCAGGACCTCGCAGCTGCCGGGGTCCTGCGGCAGCAGCAGCCTCCGCAGCCGCTTTCAGTCAGCATCACCCCGCCCACGCCCGGGTGTTGAAGTCCAACACTGGCCTGGAGCTGAGGGCGGAGGAGCGGGGAGGGAGGAGTGGGAAGGACACAAAACAGCTTCCCGGCGGCGGGCGCGGCTCCACTGCGCATCTGGCTGGAGGCGCTTTCAGTCAGCATCACCCCGCCCCCGCCCGGGTGTTGAAGTCCAACACTGGCCTGGAGCTGAGGGCGGAGGAGCGGGGAGGGAGGAGTGGGAAGGACACAAAACAGCTTCCCGGCGGCGGGCGCGGCTCCACTGCGCATCTGGCTGGAGGGGTTCCCTGGGTTAGTGGCTGGGCAGCTGCCCCAGGGACTCGGGTTCTAGCTGGCAATTCAGTGGGGCCGTTTACTACCCGAGCCTGGGTGGCATCAGCTGGTGAGGGCAGATGCTAATCTAGCAACACCATCTAAGCCACCGGAGCCCAGGAAGCCAGAGAGATCAGAAAGAAAGAAGCCCAGGAGGAGAGAAAGGGCTCCAGGGAGCCCAGCTCCAAAGGGCTCCAAGGAGCCCAGGTGCTGGCGGAGACCCATCACATGGGAGCAAGTAAGTGTTTTTTCCTTGCTGTGTGCCCAGTCCCAGGAGGGTGTCATCTGCAGCCAGGCTTCCCCACCCAACCCCCACCGACCCCACCCCATACACACCCTAGGCGATTAATAGGTTCTGGAGATGAAGTGAGAGCTGCTTTTGAGAGCAGCAGTGGCCTGTGGGTGTTTGCTCTGCAAGGTGTGTGTGGGCAGTTTGTTCGTCCCACCAGGTAAGCTTCTGAAACCAAGAAGTTAGGTCGGTGTAAAATATCTAGAAGCCCTACTTGTCAATGGTTTTCAGGTCACATGACACAATAATAGAAGAGAAGGAATGACACCCTATGCAGACTGGAGCATATTTCTCCTAAGGAATCTTGTCTCATATTCTAAGTAACTTAGTGATTTCCAGATTGGTGCTTTTCATGTAAGAAGTGACAGTATAGATTAGAGGCATAGATGTGATGGGAACTGTTGTGCCTAGTTTAAACCACTAGACATTTTGATATTGTTTGGATCAACAGGTTTTGGGTTGTGGTTGTTTTCTTTCATTGATTAGTTCTGTAAAATGCATACGTCCGGAGGTTTTCTTTTAGAAGCAATGATTATTCATTGTGGCTCTGGCTATATGTTGCCTCCAACACTCAGGGTACCGTCAGAGCAGGATAAGTGATGAATGCAGGTGGAACGGCAGTGACGGGCTCCCTTTACTTGTGGGAATGATGGATACAGGTCTGGGTATTGGTCAGAAAAATCTCTTAAAATGGGAAGGAGTTTGGGTGGTGCTTTTTGTGGTTATTTTTTCTTCCTGGCTATTGTTCAGGAGAGTAGTTTATGGCAACTATAGAAGGAAGCGGGGCCCAATAAAAAAGAATCCTGGGTACCATACCTGCTACATGGAGCCCTTATTGAAATTACAGGTCAAGCAGATGAGGCCCATAAGGAGTAATTAGTCAGTAATTACCGAGCTAATGAAGGAAGAGTTGAAGCCCAATAAAGAAGACTTTGAGGTTAAGAATAATGAAACATGATTTCCATTTTGTGAAAACTGAAGCAAATTATTTAACTTTTGATTAAGCTTTATATTTCTTATTGTAAACCACACATCAAAAACTTATATTCTGGTAAGGACTAAGTTACAGAAGGGTTTTGTGAAGGTAATGTGTTTAACTGTTGTTTGCATGAAGAGTTCTGTTTTTATACATTTATTTCACTGTTCTGGGTCTCATTTTAAGTCAAGTTCAATATCTGAACAAAAGGAGCTTTCACAGGCCTCACTAGAGGAAGTGAAATTCACATGCAGGTCATGATCTCTTGCCACCTGTACAGTTTCAAGTTTATTCTAACCTGTGAGCTTCCCTCCTTGCAACATTTTATGTTTAAACACCTTTGAAGGCTCTCAATATATGCTTTAGCCACTTTCTCTTTTTAGTTTCAAATTTTGATTTAGTCATATGGTCTTTCTTCCTTGGGATGAAACCATCATCCCATATTGGCTATTGGTGAATGTATTTTGACCCATTAGTTACTATAGGAAAAATCAGAGTTTAGGCATACATAATCCACTCTTGAGAGCTGGGAGTAATTAAAACCCTGCACTCAGGGGAGAAGTACTCTGAGCCCCTTCTTTCCCATCAATATATTTAAAACAATAGGAGAAAATCTTAAAATTGGACGTGGGCCCAGGAAGAGGGACCACCAGATCCCAGGTGGGGCCTGCCACTGCCCATCAGCCTCCATTGCAGAGTGGGTGGTAGAGCCAGGCACCTGGGAACTGAGTCTTGTGTCTCACTGCCTCCTGTGGGGGAAGCTCTGGGAGGGTAGTTGATATATGCTCCCATAGCTTGATCAGAGAGGATAAATATAGGCCTAAAGCACACTGGAAATAAAAACAACAGTATTTTGCTAAACTCCTACCGAGGGAAGAAATATCCTGATACACCCCAGCCCTAGATCTCATTATGACAGGATCTGTATCATAAATGAGGCATACTGAGCCTGACCCAAGATCCTCTCTCTACCACCATAGACTTTCTCTTGAAAACTTATGGTGGGGGCATTAGCAAAAAAAGGACATTCTTGATTTCTGGGAGTCTGGTCCCATTATTTTCACTACCAGTATCAACCTTGGTCAGTTGTGAGAGGACGTGTGTAAACCCTGCCCACCCTGATTAGCTATCAGCAACGCACAGTCACTCACCATCAAGGCCAGGTAAGCAAGGTCTCATCTTTACAACATTGAAAGAAGGAACCTTTAACACTGCAGAGAAAGTTTTCATCTGATGGACTCTAGGGATAATTTTCCATTGGTCTGTATCTCTTGGCCCAGGTGGGATTATGCTTTCCATGAATTTGTTCAATCATTGCTATTTATAAACCAGTCTTATTCTGGTTATACTCCATGCCGATGGGGGAACCCCCATATGTCTGGCCAACAGATATCCCTGTTGTGTACACAGTATTTCTGACTGAATTGACTCAGACTGATGCTGCCTGAGGATTCCCACCTGTGTGGTGGCAGCCAACTGCCAAACTGACTGTATTAGCATCAAACAAGAGCTTGATTAAGTTAGGGCCTTGCCCAGGGAAATTCTGTTTTTAAAAGACTGAAATCAGGTCAGGGCATTTGGTTTTAAACTAGAACATCAGAGGATGTTGATTGGGTTGGGAGAGGGGGGTGAATGTCCCTGGTTGAATCTATGGTGTTGAATGGAATATTCCTTCCTATCTGCTTTAGATGCCGGAGTGAGGCTCCCAGGCCACCAGCCTCTCACTGTCCGAGTTCTTCCAGAACCTGCATGGTCTAAGTGCTAATTATGGGCTATAACTCTGGCTCTGGTCCATAGCTAGTTTTGTGCTAATATGTTTCAAGGCTCCTCTCTGGTTTCTCTGAAATTCGAGAAGTGGTTGGGTATCTATGTGTTTGGTTCCTCACTTGAAAAGCTAGAGAGTTTGCGGAGTAGGAGGAACAGACCAACATTCTGAGAGTGATCAGGAGCCGAGGTGGACAGCCAGCTTTAGGAGGCTTCAGGGTGCCAGGGACTGTGCTAGTTATGGAATTTTTAAAAAAGTTATATTCCACAGTCTCAGTGGCACCTAAAACATAGGTCAAAAGGCCTCAGGACCGCTGATGAGTATGGAGGTTACATGCACAACAAGCTCTCCTTTGTATGCCTCTAGCAGGGCCAACAACACATTCTTCCTGGCTGAGCTCTTTATTGGCCTCTGGCCAGATTTTCCTTGTCAAGGGTCTGACTAGGGTCACAGAACAGTGTGGTCTGGAAAGATTCTGGCCCTTCCCCAACACGCTTGTTTTGGTGGGCTGGACAGGCACAGCTTGGAATTTGTTGTCATATTCACAAAAACAAGGGACCTGGCTAGCGAACCGTAAGGTTTCCATAGAGAAGCTCAAGTGGGCACACTTATAGACCAAGACGGCTTTTCTTCATGTTCCTGAAACCCCTTTGTTGCCTCACCAGCCATAATGCCTCACCCTGCTGAGACTCTGTCTCCCACAGAGACTTATTGTCCTGCGTCCTCTCAAGGCATTGGGACTTCCACCTAGCTTTCCTTGGTCTCATGCTTGTAAGTCAGTGGTTCTCAACCTTCCTAATGCCGCGACCCTTTAATACAGTTCCTCATGTTATGGTGACCCCCAATTTCATTGTTACAGATTGAACATAATTAAAGCATAGTGATTAATCACAAAAAAAAAATGTAAGTATATATGTGTTTTCTGATGGTCTTAGGTGATCCCTATGAAAGGGTCGTTCGACCCCCAAAGAGGTCACGACCCACAGGTTGAGAAACACTGGTATAAGGGCATTGAGACTGGGTGCTTGTCATATGACACTTTTATCCTCCTCAGTATAGGAGGATTTATTCTCCTCAGTATAGGAGGATTTATTCTCCTCAGTATAGGAGGATCACACATACTCCGAATGTGTGTGATCTGCTCTCCTCCTCCCTGGAAAGAAGACATTTGCAAAGACCTGATTCTTTTTATGAACCATCATTGGAATACAAGATTACCAGATTTTGAGGAGCGTTCAGTTCTCAAAAGTGATCTATTTGAGGAGAGATGGGACCTGTCCCTTTGAACTTCTGCTGCTGCTCATGATTTACAAGACTGTTTTCCTAGCTTCTGAATCCAGAAGAATGCCTAGATTAAAATTCTTAAAATTTATTGTTAAAAAGACAAAACAACAGTGCATACTTGTGTTTTTGAGAAAGTTGTTTATAATTTTCTTCTGCAAGATGACATATTGGCTGAAACTGTCAGAGTGAGAGAGTTGAGACCAGAATGAAGTGGATACACTGAGGCCAAAATGGGCTGACTTGGGAATAGAAACAGCTGCAGTCAGACTCCAGGTCCAGGACAAAGGAGGCAAAGTCAATTAGGGCAGGGCGAGCTACATTGTATGCCAGGAAGAATTAAAGAGTAGGAGTCAGCTAATCAAAGTTAAACAGGAAATAAGCAGCTGAAGTGGGAAAATAACCCCAAAGCAACAAACCAAGTGGGTTGAAATCAAGGGGAACAGGCAGCTGCAAAATTCCAGGTGGATTGGTGCCTTTTTGGTCAATCTGACCTTTATTCCCCCGCCTTCAGTGTGTAAGCGTCCCCTTCTGGGTTTTCGTAATACGTACATAGTATATTACATTCAAGTAGTACAGAACCGTTAACCAGAAAGCAACAGAATCTCCTGACACCTTTTCAGTTCCTCTTCATGGATATAGTCGTTTCATTTCTTCCGGAGGGGGAACATTATGCATGTGGTAGCATATATAACCCTATGTATATAACTCTTACACAACATTTTATTCAAAGGTAAACAAGGCAAGCCATGCCTAATGTTACATTTTTCATGAAGTAATTTATTTTGGGAATCTTTCCATATGAGCACAGACACATCTCATTCTTCATGTTTACTAAATAGTGTCTCATGATAGCAACCTACTGGATTTACGACATTAGCTCCTTAGGGTGGACACTTGGATTGATTTCTGTCTTTGAAATTAAAG